AGTACAAGGCCGGACTACAGCTAGTACTTCAACTTATTTTATATCACTTTTGCTGTAGACGTTGTTGTTTGTTGATGCTTTTCTTTGTCTACTTCCATTTCATCTTTGCTTGGATGCACATTATCTAATTTGTTAATTAATTTCTTGTAACAAGGGGTAGACAATGTAAGTTTGCTTTCTGCCCCGTTTCATTCAAGAGTTATGGTATTGTTTGTTTTGATGCCTAATAAATGAAATAAATAAGCTAAACTAAACTAAACACAGCTTAGAAGTGATGTAGACAATTATGGTTACCAGTTTTAACAAGCTCATTAAAAATGCACAAATGAGAAAAGACTTTAGGTCATTTACATCAAAAGGATTCATTTTTGTTGACCAAACCCTGCTTCATATTTCGTGGCGAAGGCAGACCACCTTGTTTTCTTCCCTGAACTTGTATCACGCTGAGGCTGAAGAGTCTCACCGTTCTCTTCTTCCTCTCCAGATAGAAGTCGATTTTTACCAAAGACGTGTACAGCGCCGCGTGTTTCTGTCCCTTTTATTCACATGTTACCGTCTCCATGGAAGTGCAGCTCTGAATGTCACGGCTTATGTTGTGAGCTGTTTACTCTTCGCAGACACTTTCCAGCCTGCATGCTTGAACTCAGCCCTGGATTTTTGAGAGTGCAGATGCCTTCCAGAGCCAGATTCCCCAAGTGTCCCTGGAGAGAGACCTGACAGAGAAAAGCCATAAGACAAGCTTCAAAGGACACACAGAGATTGCCTGCCTCTCCTCCACCACATCATCCTTTGCCTCATCCTAACCCCCCCTCCCCTCCTGCTCGGCTTCATTCATACATCAGATGGGAGAGATGGAGGCATGCTAGTAGGATGCAGGGGATGGGTACATTTGCAAGCCATTCCCTTGAGGGAGTACGAGATTGCCTCCATTTGGATTGACTGTCAGCAGCCAGGGGGCTCCTTTCCCTAGACGGGCTCAGCATCATGCCTACATCCCTCTGATTTTCCTCAGCAGCTCCAGCCTTAGGCCTCCAGCCTTGCTGAGTGCCATCTGTGCCCGCCGGAAAACCCACACTGGAGCGCACTCTCTCTCTCTCTCTCAGGGTAATCCTACCGCTGGAGCTCTTTTGATCAGAGCTGGTGCATCAAGCATGGCCACTGGGAGGCCTGCTGCACCAGGCAGAAAACCAGAGAGACTGTCGGTGGAAGCAGAATAACACGAGCCGGGCAGACGTGAAGCCGTTAGCGAAACACTTTATCTGGATGAATGCTATCACACTTAACCTTTACGTCTTTAAATTAAAGGTGGGGGCGGCAGGAATCCGTTGAGGAGGCGTCTTTCTTTGTGGTGTATTTACAAAAAAGCTTTTAATATCAGTCAATACTTATAAGTTATTGATGACATTTGGTAATATTGCGATATCGCTGAGTTCTCTTATGTCTGCGTGGTCAACATTTTAAGATTTTTGAGTGGTTGGTTGTAAGGCGGACACGGCTCCCTAGTGTTGTGAGGTTCGCTCCACGTCTTTGAATAACGCTCACAAACCCAAACAAAGTTAGCGTGTTACAATATCGGACAGTAGAAACCAACCAGAAAGTACGGAAAATTGTCTGAATCCTCCTTTGGCCACGACTGCCGACACAAGCAAGAAACAAAGTAAATACAAGAGACTCTGGCAGAATAACGGAGGCTTAAAATGGAGGTAGACCGGACAAGAGCTACAAAGGCCGGGTCAACATCAGCATAAACGATGGGGGACGTGTCGGGATCTTACGGACTCTGTAACCTTTCTGCCGGACAGGTAAACTGCTTTAACAAAGTAAGCCAAGTGTCTGTAACAGAAGTGTTTCTTGTCTAACGGGACCTGCTGCGTGTTGTAGCGCCGCTAAACTGTTGACCTCGGGTCCTGAATTATGTCACTTTATCCTAGTTGTAGAAGTCCTACAAACATTATGTTTGCTGGTAGTCTGTTGGCATCTACAGTAGCACCAATGCTTTTTACTTTCACGTCGACTGGGCCCCATTTGTAATTATCTGAAGTATTTATCTGAATTATATCTGAATTTAATTGGAATGATACGAGCGAGCAGGAGCGTCTGTTTGTGGGCGGGGTTTTCTGGAGCAGAGAGTGAGGGGAGGGGAGGAGCTGAGGGGAAAACTGGTTGGAGGGGTAGAGTTTACATTCAAGATTTCTCCTAAAAACTGGCACTTCCTCAGATCCTGTCTACCCCACCTTTAACCTTCACTTGTTTATTGTATCCCTTTAATGCCTGACACCAAAAATTATGGCCAGAAAATTCTAATTTTCTGGAGCTGAAATGTTTATTTCACTCACTACTGAAAACCAAAAAAATCAAAATGTTCTTAAAATTTAACAAATATATTTATTTATCTCGTTTGATACATTTGATGTTTTTGGAAACTGATAAACTACAAGAGGACATTTTTATCATTTATCCGACTGTATTCAGGTGTTTTTTTAGTAATTTGTTGATCGTAATGATTTGATAGAAGTATATAAAAGTATGTATCACATATGATACAAAGGGCATTAAAGGGTTAACAACAGGGAAGGACAGGATTGCTGACGATCCACATTGACCAGACCTAACAATAATAAAAAGTATAATGATGAAGTAATGCTAGGTTTCCTCATGAATCTACGGCACAAAATCACAACACCAACTTGTTTTCTCTGTTGATAAAAAGTGCAGAATTAAAGTTAAAAAGCTGCTTTCAGTCTCTCATTCAAGAATAATCAATCATCAGCTAAGAGATTATCTTTCGACCTTTCAGCCGACACACTTCCTGCCGTTTTATGAGTTTTCTGACACCGTTTTGTTGTTACAAGACTCTCAGTTAGGAGGATATGAGAAGAGATATTACTTCCTTAAATTACAACGCTGGAGATGATTGTTGACCAATTGACCGTCGGCTTTGTTATTGTTGCCCCGTCTGTCGAGGTTCCTGGTCTTCGCCTCTCGAAACCTGGAGATAATTAATGAAAAAGATGAAAACTCTTGGTTTTGGTTCTTTAATAATTCATGTTTATCACGGCTGATCTTGATCCTCGAACTTTGGGTGAAGTCTGCAACTGACTTTATAACAATGTCCAGGGAGAAAACATGAGAAAAACCATGGACGTGGTGTCCTCCAGGCTACTAGACTGTCCTGCCTGCAGTCCAGACCGATCTCCCATTGAAAATGTGTGTAGCATTATGAAAAAAACACAACAGAGACTCTGGACTGGTGAGCAGCTGAAGGTGTCCGTCCAGAAAGAATAGGACATGACCCTGTCGCAGCTTTTTAGCACCAGATTCAAAATGAGTGAATATTTGCACAAAAACAATCAAGTTTGTGGTGAATTCATTTAAATAAAGGTAAGAAAAAGGATTTGCAAATCACTGCTGAAGGTGAAACTTCCTCAAAGTAAAACTCTTTTTCTTTCCTCTGCACAATTTCATCATCGACCAATTTTTATTTCTCGCTTTCCTCCTCGTTCTTATTCTGTGACCAAGTTCTCGGCAGCTCAATTTTGCAGCAGCGACTCTCATCAGCCTCATCCTCGCTCGATGCCATCAGCCTGAGCATGTTTCTGGAGATGATCAGAGGACTGGAGAGGATTTGGTGAGAGGAGAGGAGAGGAGAGGAGGCAGAGCTGATGCCAAAATACAGCATGTGATCTTCTGTCTCGCAGCCTTTTTATGCATCTCACATTTTCCCCTCCAAGGAGCTGCACACACACGCACACAAAAAAAAAAGGGAACGGAGATCCAGCAGGCTGGTGTTTGTTTTACACTCTCCTACTCAAAGGGAAATATTCATTAGGTCTTCCTCGGAAATGGAGCGGCTGAGAGGGACGAGAAGAGGAGAGGAGAGAGATGTTGTAGACAGAGCAACAGAGAGGAGAGAGAGTTTGTGTTTATTTGCCTTCACAATCCTCTGTCACCAAACATGTAGAGAGAGCATCAGTATGCTGGTAAATAATGTCGGTAATATGGAGATGCTGCAGGCGGCGTCAGGGCCTGGTGATGGTGGATCTGGTGCATTAGTTTGTAAGTAATGCACGGCCGGCATTCTGGCGAGCTTTCCACTGATGTAATATGAGACCAAATGAGAGTTATAATCACTGTGCGGGCCGAGGGAGGGGAAATGCATCACCATCACGATGTGTGCCTCCGATTCACAATCGCTCACTCTGACAAATGGAGAATAATTTATAAGTCACACGCTGTTCTTTACCCAAAGGAGGCCGTGTGACTTATTTTCCCTAAAGGAGGAGGAGGAGGAAGAGGAGGAGGAAGAGTGGATTATGTGGCACAGAAACCGTCCTGTTTACGGCGACTTTGTGGTTCAGGAGACAAGTGCTCAGGTCCCTTTGTTTAAGATGATCCAGACTCATGAAGCTTCTGTAGTGTGGGACCGGACTGCAGTCGGACCGCTGGTTCAGGCAGCATCATAAAACTATCACCATTATCAATATAACAGTGCTTTATGGATGCTTTTATTATGATTTATGTCTTTTGAATAGGGCTGTCAAATGAGCACATTTTAAAAACTGTGATTAATGCATAATTTTAGAAGTTAACTAGGGTCAATCAAACTTTTTATATGATAAAAATTCAATTATTTTGCAATTTGAAAAAAGATTTGAGTAAATTTTAATGATAAAAAATTCTTATAATGAAATTTACTTTTTATCGACTCATAACTCAAATAAAGGCTGCTCTGTGACGCCAGTGTGATCTGGAACCACAGCATAGAAGAAGAAGACGGCTTCAGAGCGCTCAGTCTGTCAAATACAGAGTTTATTTTCATGCAGAATGTGACGTTGGGTGGTTTCCTCTGTCATATACAGTAATCCCTCATTTATCGCGGGGGTTACGTTCCGAAAATGACCCGCGATAAGTGAAATCCGCGAAATAGAAAACTTTATTTTTTTTTTACAATTAGCAACTATTACATGTATACAAATACAGTGACTCACGTGTAGGCCGTTTCACTGCTCTTCAGACTGGGCCGCTGCATCCTGACTGCGCTCTGCAGTGTTCTCTTCTTCTGAAGCCCGCGGTGCAGGTGTGTTTGTTCGGGAGAAGAACATAGTGATAGGCAGCTGTTGTCGCTCTTTTTTCTTCTTTGCAAAAAGATCCTTGTACACCGACATGCCACCATCGATTACGTTGGGGAACTGTAATGAACGGCTCATCAAAGGGTCCTATTCCTCAGCTACTCGCTTAAGTTCAGTGCAAGTTAAGTGCAAAAAATGCATTATGAAAATCCGCGAAATAGCGAATCCGCGATAAGTGAACCGCGAAGTGGCGAGGGATCACTGTACTAAGTTTGGTCAAATGGAGCCACACTTTGGACCTCTTCTCATCTCTCTAAGGAGTAAAAGTTGGACTGGACCATTGGACTAGTCCAACTTCCTGTGTATCCACCATGCCTTGGTCTTGAAGAGGTTCCTCGCTTGTTTGAGCTCCATTTTCTGTAACACATAATATCCCTCTGTACTGGGCAAATATATGATTATGATTGATTTCTGTTTGATCACGGTGATCAGCTGTGAACATATCAAGTGTTTCCTGCTCACTTCTGTAAGTTGCCGGAGAATTTTAGTTTTTAATACAGATGCTTTAAAACTGGCAGTTTGAAAAAATAATAATAATAATAATTGTGGTAATAATCGAGATCGGACAATATGACAAAATCCCACTGAGCATTTTTTGGTCTTAAAGAAGTCTAACAGACGTCTAAATGTAGCCTGGATGACTGGTCTAAAATCAGGTTACCACAGGTCTAAAAATGAAAGTTTTTTAGCCGTCTAAATTTAGACCAAGATTAGACCAGCTGGCTAACAGAGGTCTAACTGTATATTGCTCAACAGCAATCATAATTATTGTGGTTAAGTACTTGGAGATCAGTTATGCAACTCACAGTTGCCTTTTGAAATAAATAGTTATTGAATAATGAGTTAAAGTGCAACGTCTAAATTCCGTCTTAAAATATAGACAGTTGAAATTAGGTCTAGAGAAAAAAACTAGATGTCTAATAGCCGTCTACTGCTCAGTGGGATATATTGTGATCTTTTTCTTTGCCAAATCGCCCAGTCCTTTCTCTCTGCATTGTGTATCGTATATTGTTTGCAAAACCTGGAGCCGAACTCGGAGATGAAGGACGGAGTAAACAACCTGAAGCTGCAGCTATAAGTGCAACATAGGAGCACAAACATGAATGGGTCATTATTTGTATTTACTCGCACACAAAAGATTGTTTTTTCTCTCTCATGGCGTTCCTTAACATGATGAGATGTTGTCTGCAGTCTGAATGGGATCAAACGGTAACTCAAATCAATCAATCATGCTTTTTTCACCCAATGAACAAATGGCTTTTTCTCTGCTCTGTTGAAGAGAGGCTTCGACACAATAGCCAAGGACACTCGACTCTGAGTGACGACCGACAGATCTGCTTGTTTTTCTTTGTAGCAGACCATCACCTTGAGAAAATAAATCATTGACAAAGCGATTGTCCTCCTGTTTCTCCTGGACAATGAGGCGGACAGAGTGTCACAGTCTCCAGTCCTCGGGACACGCTTCCTGATCAGAGGACAGGGGAAATGGACAGATCTCAATAACAGGAGACGACCAGGTGAAGTCTGAGAGTCGTGACCCCCAAATGTCTCAGGAGACGAGCTGCAGCCCGGTCCAAACACTCTCACGTCGCCGTCGTCGATATATTCTCAGCGATGGCCATCAGCGTCAGAGCCCTGAGCCACTCCGCAATCTCCCAAACGCCACCTCCTCCACCTCTTCCCCCCGCCCCCAAATCCCATCCACATCACCCTTCAATCTTCATCCCCCCTGCTCCCCCCCAAGCTTATCGATTTTCTATTTTCCCTTTTCTCCTCCTTCCCTCCTCTCCTCCAGCTCTCTCCATCTTCTCAAACACTCTTCCTGCAGTTCAGCTCATCCCTCTCTCTCTCTCTCTTTCTCTCTCTCTCTCTCTCTCTCTCTCTCTTTCTTTCTCTCTGTCTCTTCTCTTTTTTTCGCTCTCTTACTGAATCTGGTCAGAGTTTCTCCTCTTTGACAAGGTCGAAGCCCCAGCCGTGCTCGGAGCTGCTTAAGGTTGGTAAATGGAGATGTAATGTAATAGAGTGGTCGGGTAATAGAATCTATGAGGGCTGGGTCTGATCTTGTTAGAGAGGGCCGACTTGGAGAGGCTCCATCGGGATCCTGAGGCATCTGCAGCCTGAACAGAAGCTTCGTAGAAAACTTTGTGCCAAGAATGAAAAAGAAAACATCTTTAGATGTAGAAATTTCCCAAAGTAAGGAGAAAATCGTGATATTGACCTTGTTTTGGCTTGATTTCATACAGGTAAATGAAAATGGCTTCAGGGTCGTGTGGATTCTTGTAGCTTTGATGATTTCTTTGCCGCACTCAGATGGTCAATGTCTTATCAATATCTGGGGATAAATGTCAGACCAGATGGTTGACAGCATGCAGAAAAAACAGACTCATTAGGATTTTCCACCTACGTATCTGAAAGTTAAAGGGATATTCTGGCGTTATGGTCGAGAGATGAATGTTGTCGACTGCTTGCTTCTCTAGTTATACCAACTTTAGCAAAGACCACCGATAGCCAAGACTGTACTCGGTGATCGACTCGTCAGGGCTCCCCCACAAACAAGCAGCTGCTGAGTGGGTGGCTGTTTTCGAATTCGCCTGCTGTACTAGCAGTACGTACTGATTTGCCCAAAATTTAGTATACAGCAGGCGAACAAACGCAAAATTTGCAATATGCCAAAAATACCCAGATAACATTCTGATTTCATAATATTACTTTGTTGTATTTACAGCGCCGTGATGAGAATCAAATGCTGCCAGATCGATGAGTCATTGCATAGACAGAACATATTTTGATGGCTGGTAATGGGCTATAAAATCCTGAAAAAATCAAATTAATACACATAAAAGATTTTTCCAGTTCGTAAATAAATGGGCAACACTGTAGTGTCGTTGCAATTTACCAGGGTACAATGTACTTTTCCATAACTGGAAACCAGCTAAACCGGGCCAAGCATACTACATAATAACGGCCAACCTGCGGTCATACTGCATACTACTATGGAACACAGTACTTGGTATGCAGTATCTACTACATACTACGGTCGACAGGAGTATGCAGTAGGCCAATTCAAAAACAGCCTGTGAGTTGTGTTTAATCTCTTTGCTAAAGAAATCAGGCAAAGTTAAAAAGATGTTTGGTGGCTAGTGCTATGGCTGGGACCCTATATGTACTGTTGATGAAGTTAGGTGCTGTTCTGAGAATTATTTGCGGCTATAGAGTGGCGTTTTGGTTGAGGTTTGTTTATGGCTCCTCAGACCTCCGTGTATTGCTATCGTGCGGTATAACTAGAGAAGCAAGCGGTCGGCAACATTAATCTCTCGAGGGGGTGTCTAACTCTGTGTTACTGTGTGTTTGACCCTAAATTAAATATCCCTTTAAGTTTTTGAGAATATTGATCTATGTTTGATCATCTGCACTCAGAGCAAACACCAGCTCCTACAGAGAGAGCTGAGGTCATCATGCAGCTAACCCTGACTCGAACGCCAACAGCTGGTTAAAGGGTTGATCATGAGTCTGGATTTGAGAACCATAAATAAGGCATCAACACCTCTACAGTATCTGCCTTCACATTTGTCCCTCATCCCCCTGAACCAAACTCTCCTCGTGTTTTTAGTCCTAAAGATTCTTCTTCTGTTGCAATTTAGAGAAAAAAACACTTTGTTTTTAACCTCCCCCCACCTCTCTACATTTTCCTATTGGCTCCTTATTTTTCTTTGGCTCTTTGTCTGCCTTTCGGTTTTTCATCTCTCTTGACAGATTTGACCCACCTGAACGGCACAGGTGCGTCCCCGAAAACAAGTGCAAGTTTTCCAATTAACTTTGCTTTTTCTTTGCTAAAATCACATTTAACCTCAGACCTGTTCATACTGTAAATAAACTCAATTCAAGCTTTTACTTTAGTGTTCATAGTATTGTTCAGAAATATTCAAAAGGAATTCATGAAGGATTCATGAAAAGGATTTCTTGTGTCTGAAATACTTCCTGGCATGTTTGAAATAGTTCTCAAGGCTGTTTTTGATTTAACAAACTTTTCCACCAAAGGGAAGAAAAAAAAAACACACCAGGCGGTCTAACTATCGTCCGTCTCTCACAGAAACAAGCTCAGGGTTCTTATTTCTCCTCTTCCTCTCCAGCCTTGGACCCTTGTTAAGCTCATGTCCCGTCTCAGGATAGATCACTGCTGGTTCCTCCGCCCCATCAGCGGTGACCTTCAGCAGGACTCTGATGCAGTGGGATATCACGCAGCCCAGCAGCACCAGACGGGCCACCGCTAAGGCAAGGACGCCACCGCTGAGGATCCATCACCCAAACAAACGGTCGCTTCCTGGAGTAGCGACGCACGAATACATCAAACTCCAACACAACAGCGGGTCACGGCTGCAGGTGTTCCACTCAACCACTCTCTTATCACACGGGAACAAAAGCTGGGCGGTTTAATCATTCGTGAAACTTTGGAAATGTCATGTCTCTTCTTCAAGATTTGGAGAGGCAGGAGTTATGAAGAGTGCTCCATCCAGAGCAGATCCAGGCAATAAGTAGGGGCACAAGTTCACAACTGAGGGAGAAGTTTGTTTTAAAAACCACTTCAGGCTGAAGACTGCATGAGTTTTTGAGTGATTTAAAGTGACAGAAATCTTGACAAAATCAGGATAAAAACCAAGTTTTGCTGAACTCTTTTTGCGTTTACATGTTGATAAAAAAATTGCATTAGACTTTTAAAATACAAGCAAACACAAAGATAATACAATTGGGACCTATTTTCTCTCCTACATTTATATACATACATATGTTTGCCTGAAACTAGCTCGAGTGTTCTAACATCCCAGGCTTTGGCCCGAAAGTTTAGTTGTAAAATCACATCACCGGGAAGTCTGGTACCAAACGAAACCTCGGTAGATGAAGAAGAAGAAACGTAAAAAAGATGAAACTGTATTGAATAAACAAAAGGTTGGTGTCACCGTGTCTGGGTTTCCTCCAATAGCTGCGCCCTTATGACGGCCGTTTCCAGCAATATTTTCGTGTTACCTGAACCCAATTTGATGACCTGTTGGTGAAGGTCGGTGCCAGGATTTCCCTCCAAGATACCAATTTCAGGAGCTCTATCCCAGCTGCAGAGTGCATGTCCATCTGTCTACTGTGAGTAAAAGGATTTGTGTTTATATTTTCACACCAGTGAACATCTTCTGTCACCCCGAAATCTTCGTAATAACCGGTTATCGTGACACTAATATCCACTCAAGTTGAGATATTTTCAACTCTCGTGAATTTGCGTCCAGTCAATTCGCGTCATTCGCGCCGCCAGAGTGGTACGAGCATCTAATCGCGTCTTTGCATTGACTTGTAATTCATTTGCGTGAATGATTTTACTCGCACTTGGTGTGAACTCCCCATTAACACATTTGAAGCAGCATTGCATGGACAGAACTATTTAACTCTGAACCAAACTGTGACTTTAAAATTGTGGCATGTACGAAACCGTGATTTTTTATGTACTGCTATACTCCAATGTTGCTATAAAAAAAGAATCAGAACAAAGATTAAAACTCTGAGAGGCATAACAGATACCAGTTCAGGAGTTTTTGACGTCACAGAAAAGACGGAGGTTTAATAATTAAGGTTTGACGTAAAATCACAACCGGGAAAACAGTAAATTTTGCTTGAGTAGAAGTTACTGTCACAGGGCAGGTTGCAGATATTTGCATAATAAGTTATTTCAAGGCACTACAATTATGATAGAAAAGTCAGCTGTTTATTATTTATAAGGTTTAGATGGGAGGTAACACCCCACTCCAGTCTTGTGTTGCCTTGAATTGACGCATTTTCTGAGGTTTTGTGTTAATTTTCTTTTTTTTTCCCAGTCTTAAATCACTGGAGCTTTTTGTCTTGTGAGGCTACCGTTGCTTCTGGAACTTCACCAGTGGAAGGAGTGAGTAAAGGAGCTCTTCAATCTGGGATTTAACTGCTAGTTACAGCAAAATACTCCCCTTTCTTCACACTGTGTCTTTACAATGATTAGAGATTTAAAGTAAACCAAGTCTTCAATTCTAAAGTCTGAACTCCACCATGCAGGTTTCTTTCTTCTTTTTAATTCTACTTTATTTTATGGCTGAAAGTACCTCCTCAAAAGTAAAGTATCCATCAACACCGCACTCAAAACATGCAGAGAGGAGAGCGCCTGCAGACCGGCGATTTTTAAGAGTGCTTCATTTAGACATTTTTTTCTAGTGTGCATTTACGAAACACTCCAAAGCCCGGTCGGAGTGTGCAATCTGCTAATGACGAGCAGGTACCATTAAAGAATTAAAGACAAAACACACACAAAAGCAGGACCATAAACAGAGCAGTATCCCTGACATTTCTGCAAACACAGTCCTTGTGTTCTCTCAGTTAGCCTCTCGGTCCGGCAGCTTTTGATAAACTTCCCTTGACGCCTCGTATGATTAATGACGGTTAACAGAATTGAATTAAGGTTAAGAAAGACATGGAGGGGCGGTCAGAGGGGAGGGAGGGGGCAAGGTAGCAAGTGCGGTAAATAACTTCTTTAGAGGAAATATACAGCGGCCCCTCCTCTGCGCCCTCTCCGCCATGCCAAGTAATTACTCGCCCCGGCCTCCTGTAATAATTC